TTCAGTATATCATCAAAATGAAAATATATCACAATATTATGAAATGAAATAGCATTAAGAACACTATGAAATCAACCATCAATCACAACACTTTGAATTGATATATCAATCAGAGCAGCGTGAAATAAAATATCTATCAAAACACTGTGAATTCAACCATCAATCACAACACTTTGAATTGATATATTAATCAGAGCAGCGTGAAATATCATATCTATCTAAACACTGTGAAAATAAATATTCATTGAAACACTGTGAAATAAAATATCAATCAGAACACTTTGAATTAATATATCAATCAGAGTACCGTGAATAGAATACAGTGATATAAAAAATCAATCAATGGCAGTCAATTAAAAATTCAATTTTAACACTGTGAAATGGAATACTAATTAAGACACTAAATTGAATTAAATATTAATCAGATCACTGTGAAGTGATATATCATTAAAACACAGTGACATGAACGATTGTAGTTCATATCCATGATGTGGTTTTAGACTTTCAAACATAAATTATCTGTAACTGATGGGGGCTGTGTATTTCAAGGGATACTCGCATTGTATAATACAATACATTTAAAAATAACATTCAGTTGCCTAGTAGAGGTAGTCACGTCCTAAACTAGTGTTTGTTTTCACTGAAGGAGAGTCTGATTTATTTTTCTTCTAAACGCTATAGGTGTTTTGAACTGGTAAAGCAGAAGGCTGTCTTGAATGTTCCTTACATTACAGCTGACATGGACCCCACCTTGATATCTCTATTATCTTCATCAATATTAGATACCTCTGTTAAACTAAAAGAATGTTTGTATTAAGAACTTCCTAACCGCCGTCGTCCCACACGACTCAATTGGTTAAGAAGACCATGTTTTAATGAAGGCGTTTGAAACACAGAATTTTTGCGATTTGATAGAGAAGAATTTGATGCAATCGATTCCTCGTTACTGATCGATAAGTTCGGACTATGTTCACCGCTACACTCTAATGTTTCTGGTCTTAAGAATTGCTCAGTACAATCTGTTCTATACAGTTCTTGTTGATCTACATTTGGAATGTTCGTGTTATTATCAACTGAATATTCTACATACGGATAATCATGTGTCTCTGATTTTATTAAGCCTTTTTTTGAAGAGTGTCTATTATGTTTTGATAAATGATTTGATTTTCCGATTCTTAATTCACAACTTGATTTGGATCTATATCTCCAAACCGATGGCCGCTCGACCAGAAAACTGGAAGGTAAATCTGACACACTGTTGTTTGGTTTGAACACATCTTTACATTCATAGTTTGGTGTGATCAATTTACTCTTGGTCCAATCGATCCGAGTAAAATCCTCAGCACTTTCTGTCTGCTCTTGCGTTTCATCCGAAACAACATTGGACCGACTGGAATGAAATAAATAAGGGAAATCAAGATATCAGATTGAATATTATCTGAAGAGACGACACGAGTTGCTCTAACATTTTACCAAATTAAAAAATATATATAAACGTATTTCCTATGAGTACTTTCCATGATATTCAAAGGGAAAATATTTCACAGCATCTGGTGTTCTGAGATATAAAGGCATAGCAACGTCATCAAGAGAAGATAATTTTATTTTTCTAATATTGATATAATATCATACATCTTGATAATGAACAGTCAAAGTAATTTCCAACCTGTAGCTCATAGCAATTATTAAAACTGTTCAAACAACTAGATCTTCGAGGTAATTATCTCCTCGATTAGTAGCATGAAATATTTCAGTGCTTGACTTGTGAAAATTACCTTGAAGAAACGTCTTGTTTATAATAGTCTTCACTCATGACTACGTTCAAATCAATATAAGGCTGTGTAGCTTCTAATAGTTTATCTAAATCATAATGTAATTGTTTAAATGTAGGACGATTGGATGGTGTCGGATGCCAACAGGCTAACATCATCTGATATCTGAAACATAGACGTTAACATAGATGTTTTCAATAATTATTGAACCGACTGAGACGATTTGTCAAATTTTCCGCCCTTTCTCACATAGACGACATCGTGCAGAGGATAGAAATGTACGAGCGTACTGTGGAAGAGGCCCAGTTTCGCGTACCCTTTCTCTTATTTACTTTCATCTGTTTTTAAATACATTATGATAACTATTATACGACATACAACATCTGTTCCATCAAAGTTAATAGAATCTTGTAACAGAATTTTGTACATAAATTTCAAGACGACTCTCCTCTAAAAATGAGAGAAAGGCTGAAGTCAGTTCTGTAATTTAATTGAAGAAGCCGTCGATGATAAATGACAATTACCCTCAAGTGTCCAACTGATTATGTTTAAATTACTGAGTTACAAACAGTAAATTGCTGGTTCTGGTAAAAGGCACTAGAGCCTCTGGGAACGACCTGATTAGATTTATAGTCCAAAATGGACCCTTAACTGATATCTAAATGACAGTTCATTGATAGCTATTACTTACAATTCATTACCACAATTTTCAGGTTTCTCCATTCTGTATCCATCTTTTAACAATTTGAATAAATCTTCATTGGGTATACCAGGGTATGGACATCCACCCAGGGTCACTATCTCCCATAACACTATCCCAAATGACCAACTAAAATAGACAAATAAAGTTACTAGTCATTTTCTGTTTATAACTAAATTTTTACTACCCATGGTTCTTTTCAGTGTCGAAATTGAGCTTCTGTCTTACAAACAATTAAATATATATCAAGAAAATGAAATGTTTAAATTGATTTTGAGTTTTCAAACCTAATTATTAAAGATGACAAGTCTGATCAAATTCAACTAAGGTCTCTAACTACATTACAACATTAATTTTCATTGAATTCCGGACAAGAATTTGATCATTTGCCGCCTTACAAGTCCAGACTTAGCAAGTCTGAAGTCAATGGGGTTTGGAGTGTCAATGTGCAAATTGAAGCTTATTCATGTACACATATGAAATTGTTAGTTAAAGGGAAATTCCGCTTCTTTGTAGGTCGAACTTTTTTTCGCTCAAATTTGTGACAACTATAAACCAAAATCTATAGAAATGTATCCCATAACCTATCTGAAAGTATGAACCTAAAAAAATCCAGCCTTCAATCTTTAAACGCCAAAACTTTACGTAACCTTTTTAAGCTCGTTATGCTTTTTGCCAGTTGTTAGAAAACTATTTTATGGTTTTGATTAAAATAAACGCCTAATTGCATAGAAATACGTTTCCTAAAGATTTCAACTAAATATAAAGAGCCATAATAAAGCCAATCACCAAAATTAGGTCAAACTGCTTAATTAACAATTAGTACTCTCAGCCTTTTAATTAACCCCTTTAAAACAACATTGATCAAGTAGACACATAGCAAGTAATTAAAGGTATAATTTACGACGTTTTTGATAATGAGAATGTTTTATAAAACAGGGGGATTGCCCCTTTAACTGAATTGACTGAATACAAAAAACTGTTTTAAAGATTTCTTTGGCTTTCTTAGATAATATAATAACTTTATCAGAATGAAGTTTTACTTAGAGCCCCATTTTCAGAAGGGTTTTGGGATTTCTTTTGACTGAGAACATAATAGATTTATTACGGACACAATACGTTCGTTGAAGTTGACATGTAGACACATGTATTCGCGTGACTATTGTATATTAAAAAACAATGAAAGAGAAAATAGGCGTCAGAAAAAAATCGTTCAGCCAATAACACTATACTTACACGTCGCTTTTCATTGTAAATATCTGATCAAATATGGTCTCTAAAGGCATCCACTTGTATGGTAACTTTCGACTAGAAGTTGGTCTGTACATATTTGTTAAATATACGTCTCGAGTCAAACCAAAATCAGATATTTTTAACAGCTTTTCATTGGACAGTAGGATATTTCTAGTGGCTAAATCTCTATGTACAAACTTTTTATCAGTAAGATATTCCTGTTTATACAAAACATATGCAAGTTATAACCATAGTACTGGTATGCATTATTTTACTCTGTTTCAGCATTGCTTAATGACAATGTTATCATATTCTTTTATTTTATTCAAATTCTTATTCATTTTTGACAATATGAAGACAATTCAAGAATCCGTTATAAATGCAAAGCACGTATTTACATTGATTGCAATTTAATGACTGAAAAACACTAAAACGTTTATCATATTCTAGATAATGTTAGTGATATTATAACGAAAAGGTTGTAAACCTCAGCACAAAGTGTATTTCTATACTGATCAATGATGGTTAATGTATATTGCTAGCCCTCCTTAAACAAATGAATACCAATGACAAAGAACCAAAGACGGTACCATTTTTAATTTAAGCTAACCTTGTAGAATCACACAGTGAAATTTTTTATCAAAACAAATGTGACCCCGCACATCGTATTATGAATTAAGTTGCACTGACCAGTAATGAGTCAAATCTGGATATGAAATTCATTATATCGTCTGGACGGAGAAAGCTATTGAGATGGAATTGGTATCAAAATGTAGCTGATGATGCCAGGAATCCAAATATACATACACCAAATGCTACTTAATACCTGGTTCGATGTGCGGGGTCACAAATGTACAAGAGCATCTTTAAATAACAAAATCTCAATTGTACACACTTACCATTCCAAGTACGATTTGTCTGGCGTATGATAAAAGGGTGCTTGGATCTATTTGTGCTCCTGAAATAAAGATCAATGACTGAACTGTGATCAAAAGACAATTATTTTTATCATCAAGGAGGAGGTGATTTAGTTTCTTTTATAAATTAAAAATATACACGCAGAATATCAAATATATTTTGTCTATTAGGAATCACATCAAGAAGAAAATCCATTTTGATGTTGATTGAACATTTGAGAAAATCAATCAAAGTGATTAAATTATAATTATCATGATATTTATAAATGATATTTGATGACGTTTTTATATCGGATGACTTTAGTTATTACCTGCCGCTTTGTGGGCCGGATATGGTAACTGCATATTGTGCATTCGATCTTCTGTTGAAGAACCTGTTTTACATCCTTAAACAAAAAATCAGATCGTATAAATTAAATTGTCTGTATATATATAATCGTTGCCTCTGGGGCAGACATAAATGCTTAGACAAAATCAGAAAATCGAGCTTAAATGATTTTATAATGATGATATCTTTGGACGATAGGAAGAATGACGGTAATTGATCAGATCACGGTCGTAACGATACGGAATTAGATGAAATTGGTGTGCCAAAATAAGCAATTCTGCCAAGTTTTATTAAAAATTGTCAAGATCCTACAAGATGCAGGAAAAGGGTCTGCACATCATTATTGTTTGGGGTAGCCACTGAAATAAAATTGGCGAGACAGGCAACAGGAAACAAAAACCGATATATTACCCACCGTTCAAGTTTAAAGTTCTACGAAGCAAGTCTGAAAGTTAGGAACATGCGTGATATCCGAAATAAATTGGAAATGAACGAAATATCAAGAGATACACGACCTACACTCATATACAAACATAAATACACAAAACCTTATTTTAAACATTTTTTTAGTGCTGATTAAGTATTATAAAAGAACACCAAGAAGTAAACCTGTACTATCCATAAATAAGTATTAAAAAAAAACCCTGATTAGTCAATAAAAAGAGTGAATCAAATAACACTTAACATTAAAAGGACGCTAGTTATTCAAAAAAAGATACAAATTGGCAAAGACCATATTTTTTGTTGCAAAGGGTAAACTGGTTAACACAATTATCAACCAAACATTTTCAAACGAGACGTTTGCACCAAAAAGTTTATTTTCGTTTTTTTTCTAAACACAACCACCATTATAATAAGTTAACGCTCCAAAGAGAAAATATTTTATATATTCTAAATCTTTCTTATTTGCTATTCAAATTTACATCTCGTTACAGCTCTTAAAAGGTATTTTACAACCAAACCCCTTTTGAGTTTAAACAATTCACATTTTCATACCTCAAACAAAAACATTACACGATCAAGTTTCATCATTACTATACTGTTTTAAATTCAACAATATGTTGTGGTCTATATTTTTGGCGATACTTTGGTCAAGGTTTATAAGTACGTATAAGTTGTGTGCTGATTCAAAAGGGATATTTTGGCTTTTGAAGAATCACAATCTCACGTACGTTCCTGAAAACATTCCAAGGAATACTAATACGTTGGATTTATCATTTAACCAAATAGCTATTATCAGAAACAAAGATTTCCAACTTTTAGACAATCTGGTATGCTTAATTCTCAGCTTTAATATAGAAGAGGAAGCTTTTTTAGGATTGGAAAAGTTACAGATGTTAGAATTAAACAACCATTCTTTGGATTATCAAGTGTTTGATCCAGATGTGTTTTTACCCATTCAAAATCTGCACAATTTGTCGATGAGAACTAAGTTAACTGTTGTTAATAATAAGGTAAAAGCAGTTAAAATTTTGAAAAACTTTAAAAATCTGACAACCGCCATAATTGATACAGCATCGGAAACAGTTTTTGACCTGAATGTCACCAATCTTCGTAAAATCAAACAACTGGTTATTGGAACTATTGACAGTTTTGAGTGTGGTCTACAGTTTTTTAATAATGATACTTTTCAAGGATTATCTAAGCTTGGGGTTGAAGTTCTTGATCTCTCAGGGTGTACAGCTCTTGATATTCAGGATGGCTTTATGAAACCTCTAGAAGATCTGAAGACTTTTTTGTTCCAATCGGGAAACTTTCCACTTAAAGTTGGACTGCCCGAAGTAATACGATCTTTGCGATTTTATATGAATAAATCTATGACAGAGATCAGTCTCTCCAATCCAAATATATTTTCGCATCTGACTATAGATGAACAGACTTTAATCCCCATGGAAACTTTAGGTAATATTTGTGTTGAAAAACTTATTTTATCCTATGCTTACATTAATATGTTCGATACCATTCAACTTTATGTTCAAGTCAATTCAGGACACCTCATTTTTCCGTGTTTAAGACGGTCCATAAAACACCTAGATCTATCGTATAATCGTATTGTAGGCAAAACTTTCAGACCGGGCATTTTTTTGTTTGCCTTCATGGAAAACCTCGAGTTTCTTGATGTATCTGGACAGTATCTCTTTGAGCGTAGATATGATTACCCGTATTCTACACATGAATCGACATATACTGATACACAGCTTTTCAAAGATGTAATATTTTTCATGCCCAAAAAATTAAAACATTTTAATTTAGGTGGGGGTATCTTAAGGATTGGCCGTTTTATAAATATAACTTTTAAAAATGCAGAAAATCTAAGATACCTTAATTTTTCCTTAACCGGTCTTTATGGTTTTAACGTAACTTTGAGAGGTCTAGAATATCTGAATACCTTGGATTTTAGTGGAAATGATGCCAGCGTTATCATTGAAACATTTTTTGACACTTTTCCTAATGTGACACACTTGAGACTGGCTGATTGTTTTTTGGATAATGACTTCATCTTAACATACGGTAGACGTTTATTTCAACCCTTAAAGAAACTTGAATAATTAGATTTATCCAGAAATAATTTGATCAAGCTTCCAAAAGATATATTTAAATCTCTGAATCAACTGAAAATTATAAATCTGGCATTTAATAAACTTTTTTCACACCCAGACTATCTTAATACACCGAACCTTCATATACTATACCTTAATTTCAATAATTTTATTAGCTTTTCATCTCAAGAAATACAAATGTTCAACAAATTAGAACAGATGAGAAAAGATGAAGGTAATTTAAAACTTTATATATATGGTAACTCATTAGCGTGTACATGTGAAACTTATAGTTTTATATCGTGGATAAATTTCACTACTATTGAGTTAGACTGAAAAAACTATACGTGTATAGATCAGAAAGGTGACTTGATATTTACCGCTGATTTCAAAAATTCAAATTATATTCAATTGTGTCTGTCATCTGTAGTGTTGAATATTTCTGTTTTTCTAGCAGCTGCTATCTTAGTGATAATGTTTACAGTATTTGTTGTTGTCAAGAATAAATTGGCTGTTAAAATCTTCATTCAGAGATTATTGGGGAAATTTGTTTATCCAAAACGTCGTCAAGATTTTAAATTCGATGCTTACATTATCTATCCTGAATCTTTGTATCAATTAGTTTGCTTTGACATGGTTGAAAACGTAGAAAAACAATTTGCTTTGGAATTCTATATTCCACACCGTGATCAATTATTTGGTCTGTGTAAAGAAGAAGACATCACAGAAAGTTGTAAAAACAGCTGGAAATTAGTGTTAATCTTAACTCAGGAGTTCATAGATGAACCATTGGCTTATTTCACTCTTTCTTCCTGTTTAACATCAATTACATTAACAACACCAAATAGACTGATACTAATAATGGATTCTAAATTAAACATTTTACCAAACATTGAATTTTTCCTAGGAAGTGTGTCAGAATCCAATGTTTTGTATACTGATCTTGATCAGCCTCTTCCACAAGAATTTTGGGCCATATTAGGTGAAACTATTCATCGTGATGATCAAGACTAATTTGATCAGGTGATCGCCAGGTGATCTAAACAGGAAGTGAAAATTTGAAAGTCTATATCTCAATAACCTTGAATTTTTAGTATACCTTAGTTATCTACAGATACTGATGTTGGTTGAAAAACATTTACTTTCGGTTTATCAGAAAATTGACATTTTTGCAACTTAAGGCGAGTGTACGAAATTATTGGGACTTGATTTTTCAGAAGTTAATGCACTTCCCAACGATATATATATATATATTGCATAAACATATTCCTTAAAATACTGAAATTATAAAGGCTCAATTTCGAACTTATTTAGTATTTATTCCACATTGATGTGGTTTTCATAACCAGAATGTACTCGCTATCCTCTTTTTAGTAGTATGTGCCATGGATAGCTAAATGCAATATTCTAAATCAATAATAAATATCGAAGATTTTGTATTTGATGGTGTTAAGATTGATGACAGGTGTTTAAAGTGGTTATGCAACATCGAAAATAAAACTGTTGAACTTTTCACCTCTGGTTGAAATATGATTAAATATTTTTTAACTAAAAATAAAATAATATTTTTCCTCAAATTTTGGCAAAATTTTTATTTACAATATTGAAACACCCATCGATCTAGAGTTGCAAATTTACAAAATATAATTTACTGTTAGCAATTGCGTGAAACAATTGGGGTATGGTAGTTAAGGCGCCCAAACAACATAATCCGAAATTCTTTTATGTTGAAAATTGCCACAGTACTAACGAAAGAGACAAGCTAGCATTACTACATCAGCAATAGTTTTATATTTGGTGATAATAGGGCGATTACAAAGAAATAAGGCAAATTAAACTCAATAACCATAAAAGAAAGAAAGGCTTAACCATATAACTCTATATAACTCTCTGAATCCTTTCTAAATAGAAAGCTATCAAAGGTAATCGCCATAAGATCGAATAACATTTTTAAAACGTCGCATTTATTCAAGTATATCTCCTTTAAACAATAATTCAAAATATAAACTTGATTATGCACACACAAGAAAGTTACGAATGGACTCTAGCTTGAAGTCAAGTAACCATTTATTCTCTCCTCACTCTATTTTTCTGGGCAATTTGAGATAACATATTTCGGATGTAATTTTGTATGTGATCAATATGCAATATACACATAGCTTTTAATTTCTTGATCACTAATGTTAGGCAAAAAAGAACAGAGAGTTTCAGCTACAGGTCAAGAAGTTCCAAAATATTAAATGGAAATGGGATAAGGTCTGGTGCCATGCTCGGGGCGGGTTACATCTTTAGTTAGCCCATCATTATTATTATACTTTTTTATGATTTACGATTTTGTTTGATTATATTTAGGAATATCCTTAAATACAGACAAGTCATTAATAAATTAAATTTCTGTAATTGTAAAAGTTGTTTATTATTTATTTAGTGAACTTTTGTCAATATAGTATTGCATGTATATAATTTTATTATTCTTGGTAAATTAAGAAAAGGCTGGGGTTGTCTATTCTTCTTTGTATCGCGAAAGCATAACATGCTTACTCTTTTCGAAACACCTGATGGTACTTCTCTTTATTCCATATTTTGCCAATCATTGGACGAGATTTTTGAATGACGGAATTGACCTGCTTGTACGGGTTTTTATCTAGATGTTTTTAATAATGCTGGAATGCAGCAAATTCGTATACTCACGAATACACAAAATCCAGCAACATTCTAGGTATTTTTGCCTGTCGTGTAACTAGTGTTTGAGTACAAATTAATATATATGTTTTAACAATGACTAAAAGCTGTGCATTTAATGTTCAAAACAATGTTACGTTATGGCCTCCGCCAGTCCTCTATATAGCATAAAGTCAAACATATCTTTAATTTTTAAATCTACGCCCTAGTTGATATATCTTGATTACGGTAGTAGTTAAGGATAAAGATAACTATACATATAATACTCACATAAGGAGATAACAAAGTCATACCTTGCAGCTAACTAACCATAACAAGAAGTAAAGTAATGCTTTTGTCACTTATTATCCAGTAGTCAAAAACAATATGTTCGAAATTAAACTATTGCGGCCCTTAACAACATTTATTTGAAAATGTAGTTTCTGTTTGGTCCGAGAGCCAATGAAAGTCCATGGTACCATTTAAACACATACCACTCCAGACAATTCAGTTTGCTATTATTGTCCAAATGAAGCCCCCGATTGGTAGGATTGGACTTCTAAGTATGTACAGGATCGAAGAACTTGCCTTTTTTACCTTTCTTTCAAGATACTGTTTTGCGGAATTGCACTATTTGGAAATTATCGAGTAGTAGAATGAGGTTTGCTCTATACAGGCATGTCACCATGACACATACGATTAATGACATTAAACAGTTTGTAAAGACGTTTATTTATAACTTTTATGTGTTTTTCAGACATTAAAAGCCAGACACCTAACTGCACTAAACGACCTAATCTTACATCGGACGTTCAAATTTAAACCCAAAATTTGAACTTTGAACTTCCTCTTGTTAGTGGAAAAACCCCAAAATATTTGACATTATTTGAAACATTTCCTTATTTGTTAAAATAATTTTCCAATCCAGTTCTATTCATATCCAAAAATTCAGTTATAAAATGCGAAAAACTGATAAGGCCGTAACAAATAATAAACCAACATTATTTTTAATTTCTTTTGTTATGCAACCAATATATTGAAATTCATTGCTTACCGTTTGATTCCGAGGGGCTTATTCCACTGTCTGTACTTTTTGGAGAACATAAAACATTCTGAAATACACAACTCAATAAATAAAAAATGTACATGTACATACAAAGATGTACAAAGTGATTATTATTAAAAATTATAAGCACGGGATCTTTTCTTGACACACTGAAGGAGCGTTCCGACCTGGAATTGAAAGTTCTTTCTCTTCTGGGTCAATTCTGATTCTGGCAGGTATATGTTAAATTTAAGCCAGGCTTTGAAAAAGGATTAAAAGACAAAGCCCATACTTACCGATTCCCTGCAACTTCGTAAAAAGTTTCGCAAATCACCTAGTGGACAATAATCCATAACTAAACAGATATCTTTACCAATTGAGCAACAAGCAATTAAACTAATTAAATTCCTATGATGACCCAATTGTTTCATAGCTTCTATTTCCAGCAGCAGGTTTCTTCTTTCCTCTTCAAGAGCATGTTCTAAATGTAGATGCGACTTGTGATTATTTATTTGTCTTTAAGATGTTTGAAGACATGTTTGGGAAAAACATATTCAACATAATAATTATAAACACTGAGACGATAAATCGGAAAGAAACAACGCAGAAACATCTTAATTGCGAAAAGATTTTCCAATTCCATTCGAGAGAATGTATGCTCAAGTAAGTTAGTTCAAAAGACAACAAATTTCAACATTTTAAAGCATCTAAGAAGTACAAAGAAGATTGGATGAAGTAGTAGTCAAATGAGGCCAAGTTAAGGCTTGTTATATATGATTGACCGGCTCCATTTCTTGGTAAAAGAAACTGGATAGTTTCCTTATAATATTGCAGACAAGTCGGTTTTCTTTCGATGAGATCTTATTTTTAAACACGCTTGGTTAACCCTCAGTAGTCATAGAGCTTTGATATTGA